ATGCTGCAGTGCCCACGCTGCCTGGGGGACACGTGCAACAGGAGGCAGCAGGTCTTCAGCCAGGCACCAGAACGCGGGGTCACCCGTGCCCTGCCAGCCAGCGCTGCCTCGTCAGCCAGCGTAACGCTAGTCCTGCAACCACACAGACCAGAGACCATCCGGCAACAGTACTTTTAACGAAGCAGATCCGGGTATGTTTGCATTTCCATTGGCCTGACTTACGCGTAGCATTGGGTTTCTTGCGCTGCCTGGTTCAGGCTGCTTGAAGAGCTATGGTAGATGCGAGTTTGCCCCAGTTCCTCCTCTTCACCCCATCCTGGTTGGTATTTTCACATGGCAAGCTGCATGCCTTGCACCTGATTTTAGCCAGAGCAAACTAACATGAATCTCTACAGCCTGAGAATTTGGTGTCATAAAATAACACATTAGAGAAAAAAAAACCAAACAAGTGACAAGCAGAAACAGCCTTCTCGTCCTTTCTGTACAACTCCCCTGCACTATGGAAAGACCAGCTCTTCTCCACTGCTCAGAGCTCACCCCTCAGTCAGACGGTCAGGCTTGGAAAGCCGCTGCTCACCGGGCACAGCGCGAGAGAGGACCAAGGTGAGCGGGACCAGGAGCACCGACCCGCTGTCCCCATCCCTCCCCCCGAGAACAACAGGGGTGCCGCTCTGCCAGCTGGGTGGCACTGGGATGCCATTCCCACAGGGACGGGGCTGACGGCTGCCTGCGGGAAGTGCCTCTCCCTCTCCGGACAGCCGGAGGAAACCCAGCCTTTCACCCCACGTAGCTTATTTTAGCCAAGCGTCCAGGTTTGGGAGGACTTGCATCCTATTCCAGCTTTGGCTACGCACTGCCAATTTAATTTCTGCTGTAATTATTCTCACACCCAGACACTTGATCTACTGTCAATTAGCGCAGACGGGGCTCTACCCCACAGCCTGAAGCCCGTGTTTCCAGCCCCCCCAGGCCAGAAAGCTGCCAATTCTGGCAGTAGGGGAACGGTCAAGAAAACAAACATCCTCTCCTTTTATTAGCACCACATGGCGGTATTTTGACTAGCGAGCTCATGCTACAAGAAGCCAAAAGACAGTGGAACTTCCAGAAACTGATGGATCACCGCTCCCGCTCTCCCCATCTGCCAGGGATGGACGGCTGGGGCCGGTGCCTGCAGCGACGCCGACACCGGGCGAACAGCCGTTGGCAAAGCGAGACCGGAGATCCCAACACGTCAGCAGCGATGTCATGTCTGCGTGATAGGAATCCTGACTTCATGCGACGGCACTGCTGGCTGGAGAGCACCGAGCCACCCCGCAGCATCTCCGTGGGTCCCACCATCACCCCTGGAGAGCACCGAGCCACCCCGCAGCATCCCCGTGGGTCCCGCCATCACCCACGACCGGGTCTGACAAAGACACAGCCCTTTGCTATTTAGGATGCAAGTTTGAATGTCACTGAATTTGCATCCTCCTCTATAGACCCTTGCTGTTAAGGACAGACTTGTACAGCGTAACCAACTGATAACCAAAGTCTACTTTTTTTAAAGTATTATTTCATGAAGGTGACTCACTAGCATCCTGTTCAGTGTCATTTCTGCTAATTGTGAACAAGCAGCTCTCTCCACTTCCAGCTTCTTCAGCTGTGAGGGCAGTTATTCCCTGCAGTCACATCATTAAAGTTTTAATAAGGAGGATTGATCCCATTCTTGGTCTCTGAGTAGGGGTTTTCCACAAAGCTCAACTGACAAACCACAACAGACTTAGAAAGAGAGGAGAAGAGAGCTCATCAGCTGGTCCACACCTTCCAGGTTCTCTTGCATAAAAGACAACTGCAAGCCTCACTGCCTTCAAGACAAAGATTACACCTAAATAAACTAAAACATAATTATAGGGTACATGCTTTCCTAGAAATCACACAGATTTAGGCATTCTGCCTATGCTCAGACGTTTCAGGGCCTCTAGCAAGAATTACTGTAGTCACAAGTCAAAAGACTTTCAAGACATCTTTGCCCAGTACGATGGAAAAGTTGAGTAAAAACTGGAGGAAGGAAAGGCATGTGCTCCACATTACTGGAAAGGCCACTTGGGGTAAAACTCTCAAAACCCTTTTCAAGGACAACCCCAAACCTATTCTTGTGATTCGAGGGCAGAATTCCAGCAGAATTTTCCCCCCTGGTTTCAAAGCAGATTGCTTTTTTCCAGATGCGAGGAAGTGCACCTAAAGGCTGCACATTTTGAGCCAAGCTATTACTTTACAATGAGTTTTTTCTTTCTCACAATCTAATAAGTGCTTTTGCTACAGCGGCTGAATGAATACAGCACAGGACAGCCCTGGGTCATATGGCATCGCTCCACAGGGGACTCCAGCCATGACCGGGTTCTCCGCTCCCAGGGGATGGGATGCCTGCTGCAAGGGTCTGCACTCTAATCACCCTTAGTGTCGTGCAAGTCAGAGGACATCTGCAATAACGCAGGGGTTAGGACAGATGCTGGCACGTGTCCTGAGCAGTCAGCATGAACCACGCTCAAGGCACAGTCGGTTTGGGGAGGGTGAAGAGTCAACCAGCGCATCTCGGGTGCGACCACAGCAAGAGTACTCTAATGTGTGCATGGTACCTCCTTCACCTCCTCTCTGGGAAACGCAAAGAGCCATTAAGCAAGACGACGTGGGGATACAGCCACTGAAAAAGAGAGCAAGAGTAGGAACCTGCTGTCTGTACCTGCGTATTCTTGTTCGTATGCCTCTCTCGTTGCCTTGCTGCAAACACATCTGCTTTACCCACTGAGTACTCCCCAGATTTACACATTTTCAGTGTAGGTCTGGATTTAGGAAAACCCATCTCTACCCCCTCATTATATTCTATGTAACTGTCTAATTTTTGAAAAGTTCCATATGTAATATATATTAATAGTCAGATTCAAATCCAATCTGCATTAAACCTCAGAAATGTTGTATCTGGCAGTGGGACTGCTGCACATTTGTTCCTCATTTAATATTATTCATAGGGTTTTGGGCACATCAAAGTCCGTAAGAAAAAATATCTGTCAAAAAAGATTGCCGTAATTGATTAATGAAGCAAACATGGCCAGAACTCAAAGCCCAAGCACACAGATCACCCTGCTCTGTCAGTCAGCGCAGGGAAAGACGAGCAGACCCACAAGTCGCTCGTGTGCGATACCGGGGCGGGTTTGCCGGTGCTGCCATTCTGCAGTGCCAGCAGCTGCAAGCCCCTCTGCCCGCTGTCCCCGGGAAGGAATGCAAAATATTTGCAAATTCCACATGGCTGCAATGGCCAACAGATTCACAGGCGTGACTATACAGGTCCACTCTTCGTGGGGTTTGGAGAATCCCACCCCCGTCCTTGTCATTTGGTGGAGTCTCTGCTGCCAGTGCTCTCTCCCCACTCCTCACTGAAGGGAAACGAGGCCAACACCACTCCTCGTAGCACCATCCCACCCTCTTCCACTCTTGCAGGTCTTGTATTCCCTCTGGACTGAGCCAGGGGGGAGCTGTGGGGGGACCTTGGGACCCTTGTCAGGACACTCAAAGAGCCAGCTCTAGGAATGAGCAGCAGAGCTAAGCCAACAGCATCTGCACGCGGGCACTTTGCACATGCTGGAGAAAAAGTTCTCACGAAACAGCCCATAACACAAACAACCTTTGTGGAGAAGGAAACCATATGAGCAATATTTGAAACACTCACCAACAGCACAAGAGTGCTCCCGCGTTGCTGTGGCAATCGCAGGATTTTTTTTTGTCAGCCTGAACTGATGTACTTTTCTTTTCCGAAGCTTGCAGGCAGCTCTGGTGCCTCTGCCACTGCTCTGGGAGGGGCTGGCCAACCTGCAGCAGTGAGAAGTCTCAGCAGGCTTCAGTCCTGCCATCCACTACTTCATGTGCCCTGGGAAAGCTTGCAGCATGTGCATCAGCTCAGCACCCATCTGAGGAGGAGCAAGACAGCAGGAGGTCCCCCCCTGCCCCATCCCCTCCTCCTGATCTCCTCCTCATTCCCCAGCTACCTCTACAGCAGGCATCATGGGCCAGCACATCCAAAAACCCAACAGTCAGGTAACTTGGAGGCAGAAAGGGAGGAGCGAGACACCGTTCCTCTTCCCTTTGATGAGCCAAAGGAGAACGAGAGTCATCTTCGACCTCGCTAACAACCTATGGGTACGGAGGATGGAGATCTGTTCAGCTCCATCCACTTCCCAGTAGCAGGCTGCTGCTGGAGACGGTGCTGCCCTCGCCCTGGCTCTCGGAGACCACAGGGTGGGAAGGCAGGGCGGGCTGCAGGCAGAGTGCTGGCAGGAGGGTCTAGGGAAAAAAGCTGACAACAGAAGGAAGAGACAAGCTGCAAAACTGAGAGAAGGAAGAGAAAGGAGTGAGACGCCGGGGGGGGGAAGACCATTAAAAAGAAACAGCAAACCAAAACAATCCACCACCATGTGAAGTGAATCACCGCCACGGGATTAAGAGGGTGCGGTGGATTTTGGAAGCAGCCAAGACGGAGGCACGGCAGCCAAGGCAGGTGCAAACAGACCCCGGGCATGCTGTGCTCTAGGAAAGGCAGGCATCGGGCAGCGCCCTTAGGAGGGCTTCCAATAGCTCCATCAAAATAATGCTGACCCCAAGCTTGGTCACTGGCCTTGAGGGGGGTCTGGTGCTGGGCGCTGCCCCCTCCGCAGAGCTGCCCAGCCTCCTCGTGCCACTGGCAAGCCGATTCAACAAAGCCTAACTTGGGCAGAGGGCAATTACAGAGCTGGGTTTAAGCCAGATCGGTTCAGGGATCCGGTTCACCACAGGAGCCTGGGCTTTACCAGCAGCAAGACCTGCATGGAAAAGTTCAACAAACATGATGTTTTAAAACCACACGTAGAAACTCAGCCTCTGAAAGGACTGCAGGCAGAGCAGAGGGCTTTCCAGATTCCAGACATGGATCTCCTCTCCCCAGAAAAGCAAGCTGGAAGACCAGCCTGTGTGCAGGGCTGCCGCTGCCGTACCTGCGGTTCCGGCTCTATGTTGATCCGGTACGCTTGAGCCTTGCCATCTTCCAGGACAGGGGGTGACCAGGTCTTCCCTTCAGCTCTGCAATGGGAAATTAAGTAAACTCAGCTTAAATTGCTCTTAAAAAACCCCCAAAAACCCAAACAACAAAAAACCAGACTTATTAAAAAATAAACAAACAACAAAAAAACAACCCAACTCAAACACATACATAGTATATAGGCCTGCCAGAGAATGAATATATATATATGTGTCTAAAATTATCCTCAGAAATAGTACAGTGGTAAATAGAGAAGATGCCAGTTCCATGCTATTAAAACCATGAAGCTCAAAACCATTCTTGAACTATAGGCCCCAACTTAGTGTGGAATTTAAGATACAAAATTTCAGTTCAATAAATCAGTAGACAGGCTTGTGGTGGTTCTTGTTTTGCATATTCCTGGCTTTGCCCCTTTATTCTGGCCCTGAATCCTGAAATGTATTCTGTTTGTGTGTGTGTGTGTGTGTGTGTGTGTGTGTGTATATATATATATATGCGCATTCCCTGGCAGGCCTGTATACTAGACCACAGCAGGAATTATATAAATGCCTTTCAGGGAGAAGGCTTACGTGACCCTGTATGAATCATCTTGACCCTTTCAACACAGGCGCTGGATAGAAAAAGTCCTAAAAACAGTTTCCATTCACGAATGCATCTTCAGTCCTGCCAAGCCAGAGCAGGACGCTGCCACTGTCCAAAGATTTTCCATGTGCCTGACCATTTTTTTCCCCCCAGAGGTGGCTGGGGGCATGGCTGGGATGCCATCGCCAGCGTGGCTGTCCTCTCCAAGGCTCGGGGCATGAGGGAGCTGCAGGGACCCGGGCAAGGTCCAGCAGGCACATACACAGGCTTTTCTGGATGCTAAGAGGTTGAGTTGGGAGATGGAAACTGCATGAAGTACAAGATAAAGTTTTCAAATACAAACTATTCTGTTTATCATCACAACCTGCATATGCACCACTTAATGAAAATTAGGTCTTGTTCTGACAGGCACAGATCACTCGCTGAGGCCAAGCATCCTTCGTCGGACTCTGGCCCCTGCCACATACCACATTCAGCTTTGGTTTAATTATCTGCAGAGTCCAAGTTTGAAAAATAAGGAGCACGGTTTTAAGCCAGGAATTCTTGAGGTGATTTTTTACTTTTGGTATTTTACATCTAAACCAGTCAGCATGCATAGAATCATAGAATCATTAAGGTTGGAAAAGACCTCTAAGATCATCAAGTCCAACCATCAAACCTACCTTTCCAAATTCAGGGTCTGATCCAAACCCCATCAAAAGCAAAGACTCCCACTGGTTTTAACGCACTTTGGATTAATCCCCTGAGGATTTAAGCCTTTTTTGTTCCAAACCACTACTTAGCACTACCATCACAGCTCTTTCAACTGGGAATAACGCACTTCTTCTCATAGCTAGATGCCTTGTTCTGATAAATTCTCTTTACTGTAATTATTTGATTTTAGGCTGGGACAATTCACTTTAAGTCGGTCTTTCCAACTGTTTTCAGTGGGACAAAGGAAACTGTCCTTCCCAGGAATGGCAGCATTCCTAGCAATTCCGACTCGCTTTTTGCCATGATCCAGTGCTGTGTGTATTGCTTCCACACTGAGAACTTCATTGGAAGGCCCAGAACAATGGAAATGCCTAATTACATTGGCAGAGATCATCATTATTATTCCCGTGCTTTTTCCCCTGCATTGAATCAGGCTGATGTGTGCTCACACTGCCGCCGAGAAGGGACAGTTACGACATTCCCCTTTGCTCAGCTCTAGAGCCCACGTGCCAGACACAGCTTAAAGGATCCCTGAAGACTTCAATTTGCCAGTAAATAAGAACTGAGATTCAGAAAGCGATTCCGATTGCAGAAGGTAAGAGCGATAGCAGTAAATCCGCTCTGCGTTAAGCTACAGCATTCGGCCAGCACTTTCTACTTGGGAGTGTCCCAGTTCCCCACGCCCCTAAACGAACAAAGCTCACACCGTCTGTACCACAAAGCAGTTAAACTTGTGTTTTCCAAAAATCATTACAGGCATCCTCACACTTAACGAAAGACACGGCCAGACTTAGGTTTGCATGTAGAAGCCTATTTATAGTTAGTGCTTTTAATGATTAAACTCAAGGCTTCACCATCAGTTCTTTAGAGCGACCAAAAGTTCTTGGTATAAGCAAGACAACCTTGTACAGCTTCCAGCGATGGCCCAAGCAAAGCCAGGCTCACCTCAGCCACAGCTTCCACTTGAACTACTCTGAAATTAAGCTGATACGGCACAATTTAGGTTCTATTCGGCACAATTTAGGTTCTATTCGGCACTTTTAAAGGCAAAGCAAAGGAGACTGGGAGAAACATCAGCTTCACCAAAGAGAAATGCAAATTGCATGTTTGATGAGCATTTATGCTTACACAAGGAGACTCCCTCTTTTCCACAGGAGCAGCAGAATATGAGGTAACCTGAAATAATTAAGAGGTGACTGCCCAAGAGTGAGATGCCACGGGCAACGACTGCAGAACGGTTGATGCTCTGAGCTCACGGCACAGTCCCGGCTGCGGGAACTTCCACCCCCATGCCCACATCCCTGGCAGGACCAGCAGCAGAGGGGGTCCCCCTGCAGCCTCCCCCTCCCAAGACAGGGTTGACGAGCAAGCCCTGGAGCAGCGGGGACCTGGGGGTCAGCACGGCCACCCCAAGCCACCCTGGCAGCAGGTTCACACTACCAACAGTCAGAGCTTTGTGTTTAGGCAACAGCAAAAACTAATCACACTTTTCTAATGTAATGGGCAAGAGATCAGACATCGCGCTCAAATGTTCCGAGTCATTTAATTTACGGCTCAAGGACAGGAAAAGTGTTTTCAGATGTGTTGTAGGGGATTAAAGTCGGCTATGTGGAAATCATTACCCTGCACTAACAACGCTCCATTTTTTTAATGGCTGCTAGGACAATCCTAAGAAAAATAACTTGACCTAGGTTAGTGCTAGGCCTTCAACACAGGGCTTCGTGGGAAACAGACCCATTAACAAGACATAACTAAAAAAAAAAAATAAAGTTGCAGACACCTTTTATCCCACGATTTGTTTTCTAGAAGACTCAACATCATTCTCCAAAGATTACTTGCATATGCTCACATATTTTACCAAGCTATTTTTTCACCTGGTAATGATCTGCAAGACTTGCTCTCTACATTTGTAGAGCTGCTTTTAAGTTGCAAGAATTCCTGGGTCTTACTGAATTTCTGATTTCTCCATCCCCTTGTAAACCAACATTCAGCACTTGGGAAAGTGCCAGACCGGACCCGGGACGCTGCCATCTGCTATTGTGCAGTTGCGCAGGCGGGAGCGGGCGACAGCTATGCAAACCTCCAGAACAACCCTGTCACTGTATTTCACCCCAACCTGTATAGTCCCTTCGGGGGGGTGTGTGTGTGGTGTGACTCCAGGTTCCTGCCCATCTCCTGAATACTATTCACCTCCCATGATGGCACATCACTACAGTCACGACTGATTTTTATCACTGACATGGCCATTAGCCTTCTAAGAGCTGGACTGAGTCTAGAAGCAGCTACAGCTGCTAAGTCCCCAGGACTGTGACCCTCGCCGTGATAACCATAAGGTGATGGATCCGTCCCTGCAGCCTGATGTGCCCCTGCAGGGCTTTCACCTGCCGTGCAAGGTGGGCAAGGCTTCGCACAGGCTGGTGAACAGGCACAGGAGCTGAACTCAGCTGAGCACCCCGATGGACCCAGCTCATCCAGGTACGCGAAGGAGAAGCTGCGGGATTTCTCCTCCGTCATTCCTCTCGGCTGAAACCATTGCTGTGTATCGAGGCTCTGGAAAGCTGCCGGTTTTCCCCTCTGTTAGTCCTTGAGGAGCTCCAGAGGGGAAGCTGTGATTCACTTTTTCAGTTGTACTTTTACTGGAAACTTGAGAACATCACACACTGTCATCCTTCCCATCTTCCAGCAGTGTGCCTGTGCAGCTCGCAGCAAATGGACCCCGACAAAACCTCCACGAGCTGGGGGAGGCGAGAGGGGGGACTTGGAAGAACATCAGCTACGTGAGGTTCCAGGGACTTCCTTGGGCACCAAATGCATACGTTTTGTGGCTAAATACCAAGATCTCCATACCATGTTTCTGTGAGTAATAATTCACGGGGCTGCTTAACACCCAGGATCTTCTCCAGCCAGCTGCCACATACCTGCCCTTACCCTCCCTTGCAGATGCCAGCAAGGCAGGCGAAGCAGACCCCGTGCTACCTTGGCTTAGGATTCAACAGCTGGGAAGATGACGCTGAAATAGGCTGATTTATCATCAGGGCATCCTGAACCGTCCCGCTAAATCTTCATCAGCACCATCACCGCCTCCCCCCGCAGGCCCGGTGCAAGGCACTGCTCCAGCCTTACTAAGCCCACTTGAACTCCTGGCCTCACATTTCGGAGCCATTAACCACGACCTGAACGCCCAGCCCTTGCTACAGGAATGCCTAGGTAATTCCTCACACGTTACGTTAGTACCCACATGAGCATCGGTTACGTAAATCGACCCCTTTCATGAGCTGATGAGGATTTTCCGCCGCTACGTTTTGGAACAGAAGGGCTACTGTGCTGCTTTGCTTTCCACGGTACCGCCGCCCAGAAACAGTCCTGCACATCTCGGGGCAGAAGGCGACCTGACAAAGCCGGGACAAAACACTCACTGACTTCACTGGGGACAGGGGTCTAGCCAAGAAAGGCATGAGAGAATGGGGGTGCGAAGAAAGAGGGAGAACCACCCCAGGAGCACTTAAAGTCCCCGATAAAGGACAGAGTAGAGATTTTAAAAAAGGAAATACATGTTAGTACAGCCTGAGAGTGGGTGCAGCCTCACAGATATCATGCTGAGCGCGCCCTGGATATCACCAGCTCTGGGCTGCAGGGGACACAGGGGAGCCACGGCCCCAACACACTTAAAGCTGCAACATCCCCTTCCCAGCAGTCTTCCCAATGCGGGCTTGGGGCCAGCTCCTCCAGGAAGGATGCAGCACAAGCCTTCATGCTCCCAGCTGGCAGATGACAAAAGCTTCTGAGAAAGCTTTTGGGCTCGCCTTTCCCCTCTGGCACAGATGGGCAGGTCTGGACAGTGCTGCCAAGGACTTTCCAGCAGTGTGCGTCAGCAAGAACAGCATCGGTGATGCCACGAGTCTCCTGTCCAGCACCCGAGGTCCTTTGGGTGCTCAACCCTCTGTTCTCAAGCAGTGGTTTCAGCAAAGCACAGCTCCAACCCAATTTTATGGCTGCTTTTATTTGAGGCATGACCCGATTTGAAGTAACAAGTCTTCCCTAACAACCAGGGCCATAACCATGAGAGATGTTAACGATCAAAGGAGCTGGGAAGGCTTTCTTTAAAAGAGAGAAGAAAATACACAGTAGCATGTAAGCAAGAACAGGGCAAGCGGCACTGCCAAGCTGGTTATCTCTGGACCGTAGACTTCTTGTGTGCACTTGCCTGGACGCTGACTGCCTTCCAGGATAAGAAAGGGAGAGAAATAATATTGATTTTAATGTGCAAGTACTTGTTCACATGAACATACATCACTACAGAGAATCCAGACGCTATTTATCAAGCCTGCAATTATCTTGGTTTGTGTTGCTGGATCCTTTGTTACTGTTAGAATACAAAATAGCTTTTCCCACCCAAGGTGACCACTGTTTGGAGACAGAAGGCCCAGGCTCTGGCGGCTTCTCACCATGCTGTGTGTTTTGCTGCTGATGCCCTCCAGACACTGCCTCCCTCAGCCTCCCCGAAATTACGTAAAAGATCAGATGCAGAGCTGCCCTGAGCCTTGCTTTTCTTTGCAAGCCAACAGCCCACATCTTCAGAGGGACCTCCTCAGCACTGCACCCCCAGCCCTGTCTCCTGCAGGGTTCATAACTCGTCCAGGGAAACTGGAGTGTCCCACGGAGAGAAAAAAAAAACATTCCTCCAGTTTCCCAGGAGCTGTCATGCAACTGTGCCAGATACGCTAGGAAACAATGCGGTTCCTTTCTGCCGACACAGCCATGCCGTTTGCACCATGGATCTTTCCTGCTGCCTCAAAACTTCACTTCTCCAGAGGTCCCGGTGCCACTGACACACACTCCCCCCCCAGCTCCCTCCGGAGCCCAGCACAGCTCCCAGCGAGCGAAGCCACAGCAGATGTGCTTCCCAACAGCTGGCACGGTCCTCCAGCCGGCAGAGCCACGGGGAGGAGCGCTCTGGGTGCTGCTTTCCATTATGGTGTTTGGAAATTACATGTTCACATTCGATCAGAAACTCTCAGTTTTTCTCCTTCCAGACAGACTACGTGAACGGATTCTGCCATGCAGCCAGACAAAAGAAAAACCATCAAACCCAGTGTGACGTTCCTAATGACAGACTGTGCTAACAATAGATACACCGAGCTATTTGCAGTCCAGCCACACAATCACGCCTGACTATGGCCAAAGTTTGCATCACAACAGAAATCCCGCTAATTTCAGCTGCTCCCTCCCAAGTATAGAGGAGAGATATTGCCTGCACTGCATGAGAAAGTTTTACACGCTAGTGGTTTATTCCACCCACGAACAGTCAGTCTTCCTGGCGCTTTAGTTGTTTCCCCATCAGTGTATCCAAATGTCTTAATGAAGCAAATCTGATAAACAGGATAATCAGCATCTCCACCCACCAAATTCAACGGGCTCTTTGCACCACCAACACCTCTGAAACCCAGACGGGCCACGTCGGTCTCGGGACATCCCGTCGGACTGCACAGTAACTCCCCCTTGTCTTCCCCTGCACATCTTCCCCCCCATTCCGACTTTCCAACTGAACTTTCTAGTCAAAGGGCATTTACTGACCACAGTTTGAAAACAAAACCAATCTTGTTCTGTATCTCGGTAACACATAATGCCAAGGGTTCATGGAGAAAGGGCACGGGGTGGAAGAAGCCCAAAGGGCACCAGAGGACTGGAAGCCCTTCGCTGCCAGGCTCGCTGCCCAGCTCCCTGCCCTCCCTTGGAACACGCACCCGGCTGGAGGGAGCCTCCTTTGTTAGAACAGAATTAACATCAGATTTCATACATCTTCAACTAAAGACCTACCACAAACGAGCTCGTTATTTCAAATGTATTTCAGACAAAAACACTTATTTAAAAAAAGATTTCCTTCTATTCACTTGCAAACTATATTTTGTTGAAGGCGGCGTACAGAGAGGACACTGCTTGGAAAACATGCTTCTGCCCGAGGGAGAAGATACAAATCCACGCCTCTGCACGCGGGGCTTTCCTGGAGCTCAGCCTCATAGCGGAGTCCAGGGTGGTGATCCGCAGTGTTACAAACAGCAGTTGCTGGACATGCACACAGACCAACAAAATCCCCTGTCACTGCTCCAGGACACGGCTCCCTTGCTAGCACCAGGTCACCCGGCTCTCTGGGAGGCAGGTCCCGGAGCAGGGATCTGCTCGCACCGAGGAGGTAGCGCCAGACACGCTTCCAGCGATGACTAATGGCTGGGCAGAGTCGTCTGGATCCAACAGGTCACTTGGGAAACAGGAGAGAGATCCAAGAGCCATGTCACTGAGCACTCACTTTCGGCCAAACTAAAAATAGACCTAATAAAGCGTTACTGGAGCTGCTTTCCTTACTGTAGAAAAAATAAACTATTCAGTTTTTCCTATCAAAAGAAAGGCCACCCCACGGACTTCTCTAGGCATGGCTGAGGTGTGTTTGCTCTTGGGGGAGCCACCTAACCAACCCAACAGTGCGATCTCTTCCCTGAGAGGAGCCACCCCACGCTGAACAGCTCCTCACTGTCACCAGCTCCTGCCTGTTCCTGTCTTGCAGAAACCTGAGCATTTATTTCTGCCTGACTATAAGGTATGAGAGCCTTTAAAATCTGCATTTATGAAGACTTTAAGGCCCGACAAAACCATTGCAATCCTCTTGCCTACCCTTCCTGCCTAGCAAAGCCCAGGCCACCTCACCCACGAACCCTGCACCACTGCAAGGCTGCCGGCCATCACCAGCAACATCTGCTATAGAGAATCCACCGCTCCTCTGGGCACGCTGCAAGGTCTCACAGTTAAAGATATCCACCTTGGTAGCTGTAGTTGGGCAAACCCAACCTGAAGCCACAGACTCTCCTGCTGCCATAATTCTTCCACACGGCAGCTTCCAGACCACCACGAGGTCATTAATGAACATTTCTGCATCTCAGGCAAGCTAAACAGACAGATCATCCTTAACCCCACCCAAGGCACGTACCCACACTGCTGCAAAACGTCTGTCCGCTCCTCTTGCGATGGAGCGGAGCTGTACCAGTGTGACAGAACCCCTGCCCTGTGTCCGTGCAAGAAGTCACCTCTTAGGAGAGGAGATGAACCTTCACAGAGATACCGCTGACACCGCGTACGCTGACACGGCAGCTACCACCACCAGTATGGTCACAGCTACCACCAGCAAGACTCAAGCACCACTTCCTAACCACGAGGACCAGGTGGACACCAGCAGAAACCAGCAGTGCACGTACCCGACACGGGACACGGCAGCTACCACCACCAGTATGGTCACAGCTACCACCAGCAAGACCCACTTCCTAACTCCTAACCACGAGGACCAGGTGGACACCAGCAGAAAGCTGTGCACATACTGCATGCCTCCCACAGAGGAGGAGTACTCGAGGGTCCGATCTCAGCCAACAAACAGACGCCAATTGATACCGGTGGCTAAAATGAGGTGTAAGAGTGGGAATTCCGCCCATAAATTCACACAGTAGAAACCCTCATACACGAGAATAAAATGCTGCCACGCTGCAGGTGAAAGTTGTTTTCAGCAAAACTTTATTCTAACTCCTGACGAAGTTGTTCTGCTGCCAAACCACCTCAGCAGCTGGTAGCTCACCAAAACCTTCTGTCACTACACACAGATTTCCACCTCTTCCAAAGAGAGCTCCACCAGCCTGCGGACAGCCAGGAAGGGAACCCTTGTCCTGCCCTGGGTACAGCCCCCGTTCGGGGTAGAGGACCGTCCAGTCTTCTTAAAACTGCTCCTAATGGAAAGGAAAACGACCGTCCTCCTTGGCTATGGGAAATTCTACCTGCATGAAGGGTTTTCTTGTTTTTCTTTTTCTCTTTCTTTCCTAACGCTGAAGCCACATCATCCCGACGGCACGGGCTGAGCTCAGGGGACTCTGCTTCGGCCGGGCAGCTCAGACACTGCTGTGATGAAGGAACCAACAAGGCTTTGCTCCATTTACGGCAGCGCTCCTTCCCTGCTGCCCAGGCTTCCAGTCAGAAACTACATGTTTTCCAAGAGAAGTATAAACAGAAAATGATAGCTCTTTATAGCAGGAAATGCCTTTTTAATCTGAAGTGGAAAATTGCATAAACTTATTTAGACCTTTTACAGATAACATTAGTAATTTGTGAGCCTTATAAGGACCACTCATTTTGACTGGATAATTTGTGATTTGTACTAAGGAACCTTTAGCTACAGAATTCATTCCAGTGGAAAGCAAAAAAAAAAACCAAACCCAAAAACCCCAAGCCTTCGTTTTGCTGTGAAATATTCTAAAAAAGTTAATTTGGCAGGACCTTCAAGTGTATATTCATTGAGGAGATGTTTAAGAAAATGCTAGCTGGATGTTAATGAAGTGGGAGGCTTTGCCCAAAGGAGATTTCAATCCCAGTGCTACTCTTGCTTGAGTCGGTAAAACCTCCATTGGGTTGAAGGATCCGACCTCGGTCACAGCCTGCACGAGCCTTGCAAGGTGCAAATGATAATCCAGACTTATATAAACGAACTGGACCCACTTACTGTATCAGCGATCTTTTGAAAATAATCTTGCCTTGCTGTTTTTAGAGACACAGAACAATTACATGGACCACGGGGACGCACCAAGAACTGAACCTAAGGACACATCTGCTCCAGGGCCAGCCGCAAGCCTTCTGCGGAAGAGCCAAGCAAAGCTGACACAAGAGCACATCAAACAGAAGAGGACCTACCTGTTCACGGAGAGCAATAGCTGGTCCATGCATGCTTTGATCTTGTTTTGGGCTTCTAGGTGTGTCATGTTCTCCGTGCTCTCTCCGTTAATCGCCAGAATAATATCTCCTGGGCACAGGTTTGCCATGGCTGCTTTACTGCCAGGGTTAATCTAGGCAGGGAAAAATAAAAGGGTTACTTAAAAGAATGCTCGGTTTTAAAGAAGTCCAGTTTCTTGGAATAAGCAGCAGATAAAGGGAATAGTTATTTCTGGAGCAGACACATGCGTTTTGCCTACACCAACAGCATCTGCCAGAGGTTGGATGTCAGACCCAGGGCTCTTGGGTCAGCCCCAGTTCTCTGAGGGCCATCCTCTACAACAACGCCCTTTTAAATCGAGAGATTTCTGTCAACCCCAGTCACCGTGTGACCAGGTCCTCTCTTCAGATTTCTCTCTGGCTTGAAATAACGCAATACCCTCTTTCGAGAGAGATGCTTTAGACTCCTGTGGCTTGCAGGCCTTAAATCATGCTGCGAGAGTCAATCCCTAAGGAGCACACGCAACCCTCCTCTTTGGCTAACTACGTAATTAGAAGATGAGCGCAGTCACCCTAATTGCTTCCTGTGGAGAGGTTACATTTGACATCAGTTTTTCCTGACCGTCATTCAAATGACTTGTCTCTTTCTAGCCCTGCATGGAATACCACGCAGCTCGTTAAGTCTCCACAACTCTTTCCTTCTGGTTTTGCAGGAATGCCAGAACCTTATAAAACTCATAACTTCTTTCCTGAGGAACTAATGGCAGGTCCAGGTACTGTTTGTGGTCAGTCATAAGACCAATCCTGCAGCTCATAAAAGACTTTCTTGAGAAATTGCCATTTCATTTACATCAGCCCAAATGTGGTTTTAATTTTTGCAATAATGTAAAATGATGCAAGGCATAGGCAGGACAGGTAAATGTGTCTGTTTAAACTCTTAATAGCTACGTGCTTGCCCTCTAATTTCCTCTTCAATCATTCAGAGCATCTGCTAACTCTCCGCTAGCCAATGACATGGTTTATCAAGTGAGAAAGTACAGTGAGTCTGACTTTCAGTTATTCCTATCTCACTGCACGTAGAGTGCAACAGTGCTTTGATTCTGTTCACTCTTGATTTACACGGGTATAATCCCTGTCTCAGGCGATGGGTCTCTGCTCCAACACACCCTGCTTGAAAGATCCAGGCAACAGCATCACTGCTCTATCCTCCATCTCCCCTCGGACGTAGCTTTCCTCGATGCACGGTGGCAACCAGACGCTAACAAAACATGTATGGTTTTTCAGACAGTTGGAGACCAAGTGCTGGCCACCTGCTCCATGGTGCCCACAAGCCCCCTGACCACCGCAGGCCATCACTAAACAGGCAGTCTTTTAGAAAGGGAGGCATGCACGCCGCCCCGTGTTCATCTTGGTCTGTTTTTTCCAGTTCTATTTTCACAGGGAATTTGAAGAGGGTTTAGCCTTAACACCAAAGCCCTTTGTAAGACGTGCTGGGGCTGCTCACGGGACCGAGGCCGGTAAAACAGCCAGCCAGAGGCAGACGGCACCCGGCATAACATGGACCCGCCACACTGCTCCCTGCGTGACTACAGCCACCAATACCACTGAAACACGAACCTGAAGGTGTTTGAGGAGCTCAAACCACTTTTTTTGCATTTAAGCTGAATTGGCAGCCTGAATTAAGCCTTTTGTTGCATTGTCAGAGTAAATTAGCATTTGCCATTTGCTCTTCAATAGTTTCAGCCAGGCTATTTTGCTCTAACAAACCTGCCAGGCCAACTCCTCCCCTGCTCGCAGGCTCCCCTGTGACTCAGCTCAGAGCTAACAACAGGAGGTATTTCTGCACACAGGACACTTTAGCTGTAAAGCTCTGACACAGGACATTTCAACCCAGGAGAGGTTTATTTTTTCCCTGGCATGCTTTTGTCCTGTTGGTTTTTTGGACCCACGTAAGAAGACATGGCATTCACAGAGCATTAGGCTCCTTCTACAGCCACAGAAGCTGCCAGACCCACCAGAAAGTCAACCAGAAGCTCAACCAGCACCTCCAAGGAAGCACCTCCATGCGCTTGCCTGTCGTTATTCGCTTCTCCTGATGTCTGCCCTGCAGCCCCGGCTACCAGCAGACTTTTGGACTAACAGACCTTCCGTTTGACCCAGGACAGCTGTATTTTGTTCTTGTCTGTTCAATGCTGTCTAGATGTCTGATGGATTTTTCTCCCTGCACTGATCTTAACCAGATTGTAGCTTCCTTGGAGAATAAGCTGTTCATAAATGGGGCTCTTAGCTGTTTCCTATTTTTAGATTCTGGTTTATTTCAAATTATTTTGGTAGTATCTTCATATTAGCATTTTATGCTACCCACGGAGATGACTGAGGGCTTGAAATGGAGCTGCAATCCAAGAACTCATTAGTTTGAGATACAGCATCGGTGTCACAGCAGCTTGGGAATCAGTATTGTAGTGTCTGTCAGGTCCAAAGTTTGTATTTTAGCGAATGATGTTTAAAATACTTCAAGTTCTCCTAACTCAGAGCTGTGCAAAGCCATTGACACCAAACATGCCGCAGAAAGCCCTACGAGCCCAGCTATGGGTCAGGGCTGTGTTTGAATCCTCAGGCAAGGGTCCTACCTGCTTCGCTCCACGCGAAGCCTACCGCAAAACTAGGATCTCCGTAAGGACAAGGATGCAATTTTAAGGATTTGTAATTTTTGTAATAGAGTCTATGCTTGGAGTGAAACATCCAGGAAAGATGACACTGTTGTCACACAGAAACAAACACACACACGAGGAAGGTCCAGGAGGGATCTGGGTGTCTCATTCAGGCACCCATCAAGCTACAGACAGTCAGCACCCACAGGCAGCAGCAATCGGCTAAACCCAGAATGCTCCTTAACCAGCCTCTTTCCTTACAAAGGCCAGCTACTGCCCAACAAGCTGCTGAGCATCTACTATTCTAAACAAGTACATACAAAAAACAAGTGGTTTTTTGTTCAAGTGATAAACCTTGTTTTGCCTATTAGTCCGTTCTCCAGGGCTACGGCCAAGTGATGGACGTGAGGAAATGGCCTCAAGTTGCGCCAGGGGAGGTTTAGATTGGACGTGAGGAAAAATTTCTTTACTGAAAGAGTGGTTAAACATTGGAACAGGCTGCCCAGGGAAGTGGTGGAGTCCCCATCCCTGGAGGTATTTAAAAGACATGTAGATGAGGCACTTAGGGACATGGTTTAGTGGGCATGGTGGTGTTGGGTTGACGGTTGGACTCGATGATCTTAGAGGTCTTTTCCAACCTCGATGATTCTATGATTCTATTCTATGATTCTATGTAACTGCAGCTGCGTGTATCGCCTGTGGGTGCAAGGTCTCTCCAGGGCAGCGACATGAAAGCCCAGCAGCGCACAGAGGTTTTGGGATGGAGCTTCTACCAGAGGCACTCAGTCATGCCTCGCTCCAGAGGGGCCGCGGGTCTGCCGTGAGCGGTAACCGCAGCGCGTGCAACATGAACAAAGCACGCACGAATGTGAGAGTAACTGGATACGTTACGAAGTTAAAAACACTGCAGAGAAAACCTGCACCGAGTCACTGGAGCCCTGTGCCCTCGAAAGGGGCCTCCAAAGGAACTGAGGTTTGAGAATAGGATAGTCTTAAGAAAAACAGCGATAAGATTTTTGTTTGTTTTTGAAGTTCTCCATCAGTGCTAAGAACAAACCACTTTAAAAATCAAAGTTGAATGTACACAGACCGAGACAGGGCCGATGGATACGTAACTCGGGGTGGTGTAAGCCGTCTCCCCGGGACCCGGACAGGCTGTGTCTCCCCACTGCGTGCTGCCTTTCTGCAGGCAATGCCGAGTACCCTAAAGCAGAGCCCCAACTCGCACACTGGGGCTGAACACGGGCTCCGTCCCACGGCGCCTGCTGCGCCCTGCTGTGCCATGCCTCGTCTTGCCCACGCTGGGCGCCTGCCAGGATTTGGTCTGTTTGCCTGCGTTTTCTCCAGTGAAGAGCTCGGGAAGGGCAGTTACGCGCTAGCAAGGAGCCAGCCCATCCCCTCGCACCCTGCTAACCCCCGGGGCTGCAGGGCCCCACGCGGGTGCTGGTATTTCAGGGCCGCAGCAAGGGGCTGGTGGAGAATCATGCAGGTGGACAGGGCGGTCTGAGCCCTCGTGCTGTTGGCAGCTCACGGGGTCTCATTCCATGCAAGGCACCCAGCTCCCAGAGAGCTCTGCTTGTGCCATACACGTTCAGAGCAGTCAAGTGTACGGCACCGAGAGCCAAACCCACAGCAAACAGCGCAGGCTTAAAGAAACATAAAATATTTTTATTAAAATTCCCCTAAAGGTTTTTCTTTTTCAACTAGACAAGAATCCAGCCTCATTTGGAAGCTCTGAGCTCCCAAAGGCACAATTTTATATAGCAGTGACCCAGCACTGATGTGAACTCTAGCCTACCAGTTAACTTACGCTGCTAGTTACTGTCGCCCTGCACTTGAAGATATTTCCCACCAACGTAAAGCCAAAGCCAACTGATGGAGACTTGGGGTGAAGTTGCACAAGACAGCTTAGTTAATCCCACAGCTTGCGCACGAGAGGGGAGAGGACCTTCTCTCTGCACCTTCCCACTCCTGGGTGCCACCCAGCCTCTTCCCTTGTGCCAGCCCTGGTGCTCAAGCAGGTTTTTAAGCACAGCCTGGAACGCAATCCAGCAGAGCTGAACGGTTTTCTGAGTGTGAATCAAAGCAACTCTGAGTAACGGGTCCAGTGCGCTGCACCCATCATCGGGGACCAGGGGAGGGATGGCGTTAGCTTGTGGTGAGCTCTTCACAAGATGATTAAGCAGATCCCACACAGGGTTATACGTGGAATACCCCCTACCCATCACCTAATCACTGCTGCACCTTCAGGAGGAAGGAACGGAGCACGAAATATGTGCAGGACCAGTCAGTGTGCTGGGGAGGCCGCTGGCACTCATGTTTTCACAGCTCCTTTTATGCCCATAGAAGCGCATTCACGTGTACTCTGCCCGAGGCGACTGCGCACACACAGCACGGCGTCTGCTCCAGGAAGGCAGCGTAAACATAGGTCATTTTTAGCACTCTCCCAAAATTGAATAAAGTCAATAGAGAACAACGTTCTG